AATGAAAGATTTTTTTTGTGCCGCTGAAAATGGAAGAGAGATCTGTATAGCACTGAAGAGAAGAATACGAGAGGACTTACGGAAGGTCCATGGGTTGATGGCAGGAAGAGTCAGAAGCTACAGAGTTACGTGAGAATGGGGGAATCCATCTGCTGTAGGGTATTATAAAGATGAAGTTGGTTGCAACAGGTTTGAAATTTTTTGCATTGTTCTCTACTGTTGCTTTGTCACAGAACTGTTCATTGTTTTTTGCCCACAGACACCACTAGCTCCTCCTGAAGTTCAGCAGCAATATTTATCAAGTATTCAGCACCTTTTAGGAGATGGTATGATGCTTATTATAAGCTAACTACACTTAACAAAACACTGCTTTTTTTCTAGACTTGAGCAGATCATGGGAATAACTTTGAAACTTCTTGTTCTAGGACTGACTGAACTAATAACTATTGTTAAACAAGCTGTGCATAAAGTTTTTGGAAGGTAAGAGCCTCTATTTCTTTGTGGTTAGATATTAATCTTTATCGTGATGACTGTTCCAAAACAATGAGTTTTACTAGAATTTAAAAAAAGGAAGGCGTACTGACTTTTTCCAAAACAATGTTTTTATTATAGCAGGCTACATCTGCCAGTGCAAACCAATATAGCAGACTGGGATCCTGTTGCTTGTGAACATGTTATCAGTAGGAGAACAAAGCATTGTTATTCATTTTGCAATCAAGACTGTAGTCTTTTTTTTTTTTTTCCCCCAGTATTTCCCTTAAGCACACCCTATCTCTTCTGGAGCTGGAACAGAAACTTAAAGATATCAGGGAAGTAGTGGAACATAAAGATTCAGATCAGACTGTACCTTACTCTCCCTTATGTCATTACCTGATGCCAGATGAAGAAAACCCCTTGGCTACCCAGGTACTTGTTTCAGTTTCTTGTATTTACCCTTCTTCATCCTGAGTTTTTTGTCTGTTTGTTGTTTGGAAGGGAAGGGTACATAGCAGTCCTCTACTCGTACCATGGCATCCATGTCTTTCATAAACGGTGATGCCTCTTCCATTGTAAATCAAGTGTCCTTATCTCCTTAATCAAGGTAAAGTGAAGTTGTACTTTCTTCAGATTTGATTGAAACAAGTGTTGTCCTCAGAATGCCAGCTCCAAGCTCAGAAACACAGCCCAGATACTGCTTTTAGCCTGTGACGTACACTGTAAGGCAGTGCAGCTTGACTCAGCCCTAAGCTAAATTGCACTGCCTTGCACTTGTGTACCAGCAGCCATCATGGGCGGCTGTCACATCTTGGCTGATGGCACAAGAAGGTGCTGGTATGCTGGTCCCTTGAGGCTTTGGGCTGGAAAATGAACAGGAGTCAAGAGAAAGGTGTATCTGATCTCAGTTGTAACAAGGTAATATCCTAAATTTTTTAAAGGTGTGTGTCTCCATCCACACCACAGGTTGGAGAAAACTCATTCTTAACTTGGTATTATGCTAGTATAAAGAAGAAACTTGGGCTTTGGTGTGTGACTACATGCACTTATCCCTTTAACTCAAGCTGATACGCAGGGTTTATTTCAGTTTTGGAGGTCTGAAGTAGAAAAAATACTCTGCTCAATTAGTCTGTATTTCCTGCTAATACTGTTTTTAGTTAATAAAAAAACAACAAACCCTACAGAGACCATTAAAAGGAAAATTAGAATACAGATTATATAAAATCTCATTTACAACAATAGATCTTTTCTTTTTAACTAGATTTGACTTATACATCTTGGCCTAATTCCATGGTACAGACCTCCTCTATTTCTACTCTTATTCTTACGGTTGCCAATGGATTTCTTACTAAATAGTGTCTGTCTTTGCTTTTTTTAGGCCTTTGGACTCACAGAAAGAGACATTGCTACAATTAAATTACTTAATGAAACTAGAGATATGCTAGAAAGGTATAAAGAAATAACCTGTATTCATATTAAATTTCTCCCAACAACTATTGTTTATGTAAGACAACTACTTTCATGTAAAAAAAGCTGTTAACTTTCATGTGTGAAATGCAACCACTCTGCTGCATTCAGTTTTTATATTCATTAATTGTTGGCTGTGACTTTCAAAAGTTGAGAGCTCTGAAACTTATTTATAAGAAATAATCTTGTCTTAATGAAATTACCAGGGTGTCCTTTCCAGTCTCTTCCTCACCTTTTCTGTAGTTATGCAGGAGCAGAAGAGTACTTCTCTTCTGCTAAAGCAGGGTAAATCAAAGGTAACTTTACTGGATTTACTTGCTTTGATAAAATGAAGCACCAGTTTTGGCTTATCAGAATTAATTTTTAATGCATGGTTTTGAGAGTGGTTGTATGCATCCTTTTGTCAGAAAGCTACTGAAGTGAGGCTTCTATAGTACACATTGAATATGAGGGAATTGAGCCAAATGTCAAACTACTCTTACAATTTAGCTGCTAGTAATCTGGGGTGTTTTAAGGATAAGTCCCTTCTATGGTATTACTAGGAAAGAGAAGTGAGGAACGCTTTAGATTTATCTGGGTTCTAATAATCTTAGGGTAAAGTTAGGTTGTTGATCAGTTTGCTGTGGAGTTGTTGGGGAGCTGGTCTTTCTTGAGGTGGCTACACTAATGGCCTCTTGTTTGGGTCATACATCTTCCCTTACAGGAGGGACATCGTAGCACTGAATACTTGCAGAGTTTTTTAGTTTGAAAAGATAAGTCACAGGAATCAAACCTTTTTTTTTTTTTCAGTCCAGACTTCAGTACAGTATTGAGCACATGTTTAAATAGAGGATTCAGTCGACTGCTGGACAATATGGCAGAGTTTTTTCGACCCACTGAACAGGACCTCTCTCAGAATGGCTCTGTACATAGGTACATGTTTACTTCTGTTGTGGTTATCATGTGAATAATGCTTTCAGTTCACAGTGAATTCCAAAAAAGGCTATTGATTTTCCTGTCTACTTGAAGTTCTCATGCTGTAAATAATTGTGCTTCTTGCTCTTCAAGAATAAATGTAGTCTACTCACTGCAGTCAAGTAGACAGCAAGGAGTACTGCATGTTTCTTCCCACCCATGAAATTTACGTGAGGTATCTCCCACCATCACCTGCAGATCTAAAAGTAGAAATCAGAAGACCTATCCCTTCACTTTTTCCCTGAACACTGTACAAGCAGATTGCCTTTCCAGCTAAGGAGGCTTAACCCCACTGGTAGTGACGGAGGCAGTGAGCAAAAGGGTGTTCCCCCGCAGGGAGCTCTGTCCACCCCAGTCTCTGACTGGCAGTTACTGCATTCTCAAGGAAGGTGGCCAGTACTGTGGCTCTCCAAATACACATAGCCAAAGCACCTGCAGAGCTTTAGGCTCTTTGCAGGTATGCTGGAAAAGAAAGATACTAACATTATGGATCTTCTGCCTCTTCCTAGAAGACTGTTTAAAAACAGTTTTCATTCTGAAGTTCGCTTTGGTTTTAAACAGTGCAGTGAGAGTGTTACAAATCCAAAAGCTGAGTTCAGATCCTTGAAATATGATTTCTAAAATATTAGAATAACAACTGGGTTTGTTTATTTTAATAACTGATAGCTCTGGTTTTTATTTAAATGTATAGTATTTGTCACTTGAAATATCCCAAAGGCTGTAACTTGGCTGTCTGTCCTAAGCCTGGCTTAGAGTTTGAAATAGTGTGAGATTGAAGACCGGCACTTCTAACAACTGTTTACATATACGCTCTGGCTAAACTGTATTCCTCTTGTGTGACAAGCAAGTGTGAAACTGTAATAGGAACACGAACAGACATTTGCTTTGGTACTTCTCTATATTAAATGAAAGACTTGATAGGGAAAAAAATCTTCAGCTGTGCATTTTAGTTTGCTGACTTTAAACTCTTACTTTTGAAGTAGTAATTATTTAGAATTGTAATAATCACAGTTAAGTGGCTTTACTAATGTTAGAGCAGGTCTAGGTCAATATCTTTTGTTCTTTTCTAGTCTTTCCAGTGTCAGTCTTCCTTTAGCCAAGATAATTCCAATAATAAATGGACAGATCCATTCAGTATGCAGTGAAACACCCAGTCACTTTGTTCAGGTAAGAACCTTACTTATTTAAAATATCCCAAGTAAAATTTTGAAATTAATGTTGTATATTTCTTTTTAATAACATACTTCATTCTGTTTAATTTCAGTGGCTTTAAAAAAAAACCAAAAAACCAAACCCAACCTAGAAACAATTGGGGTAACTTAACTTGTAAGTTTTGTATCTTCCAAAAATGTTATCTTTCTAGAACCTCTTCCCTCTGCTAAACTGCAGGAGCACAAAAAGGTCTCTTGACTTGGTTCTACTTACAGCTCTGCTCATAAACCTTTCTAAAGCAAGAAGTTTGAGTTACATCTCTGTGGGAGTGCTAGGTGCTTGTCTCAGTTGAATTATGTACTGCAGCAAAACCAGAATAGTGGTGGATGTGTGATTAAGCAAATTTATTTTTTAAATTTCTTCCAGGACCTGTTGATGATGGAACAAGTGAAAGATTTTGCTGCTAATGTTTATGAAGCTTTTAGTACCCCTCAACAACTAGAGAAATGAAATGCACATTTATAGAAATAGATCTTGTATTTATAACAAATCCCTTGTGACTACTGATGAGATTTGGGTTAATTTTATAATGGTGTAGGAGTGGTAGACCAGCAAAAAGACCATTCTGAAAAAAAGGGAGTGAGCCCATATTTGTTCTAATAAAATTCTGTTTCAGACACCTATTAAATATTCTTGTTGAAAGATCATTGTATTTAAAGACTTTTCTATTAAAAAAAGTGGTTAAACTCTTACATAATTCAATTGATTATTTTTATGGCATGTGGTGGCAGTATTACAACAAGTAACCAAAAAACCCATTTATTTGACTGGGGTGTGTAAGTTTTGGAAAAATGCTAGTGATCTAAGAATAGCACAAAGTACCAGAATGAAGTATGGCCTCTTTTGCCTCCCAAATTTTTCTTTTTGTAAAGGAAACCTCTTTTGTTTTTTTTCTTCCTTAATTTTACAAATCTTATTTCAAAGAGTCTCTCATTTTTCAGAAAGCCTTTGCCAACTGATGCATGTTCCTCTTGAACAAGCTGGGGGAGTGCTCTGTTACTTAATACTAAAGGAATGTGGATTTTTAGAAGTTCTCATTTATGCTGTTCAAACAGCTACACTGTACACATTAACTTGTAAATATTTTATCTTAATTTGTATTAATTTTGAGCCCAGTTGTCTGTATTGTAATAAAATATTTTAATGTAAAATTGTTTGTGTATTAACATTACTAGCAGGAAAGGCAATAACTTCATTGGGCCTATCACTTAATTCTGACATAGCTGAAAGAGTAAATTTAGCTTACACAGCAATAGTTTTGCACTTCTTAGTGTTACTCAGGAAAAATAAACCTTTAATTGTTTCAGTATAAACACTAATGGTTTTTGTTGTCCTCTACCTCCCCCTCTTTGCAAATTTTATACTGTCCCTTAACATCCTGACACGATGAGTTTGGGAATTTCTCAAGCTGGATGCAATCTACCCTCTGCTTAAAATGTTGTGTCTCTGCCAAAGTTGAAGATCCTTAGCAACTCCTAATTATTTCTTATTTTTAAAAAAAAAGTTGGTCAGTGAATATATGTTTTGTTTAATAGTCCACAGAAGGCACCCTGGTAACTGTAAAAACAGTGGCTGCAAACAAGAGTCAGCTTTAACCATGTAAAATTATACAAGACAGCAAGAACCCCTCCCACTTTACTTGTGTCCCAATAATGGATAGAATTACTCAAGAGTAGGAACATGTAAAATTATTAATTTTCAGGATAAGAAATGAAGATGCACATGCATTTGTGATTAATTCCTAACCCTCAGAGGACTGTTCTTACAGATGCATTACCCTATGCAGCTGAAATTACCACCTGATAGTTTTTCCAGTTGTGTGCAACAAGTTTATTCTCAGTTTTTACTGTACAGTTTTGTGGAAGTTAAATTCCTTGCATTAAAGAAGGTATACAACTGATTTATGTGCATTTGAATGCTGGCTTGAGCTGGCTTTGTTCTTTCTTATGGCTTTAAAAATCCACTCCCTGTGGTTTTCTCTCCCTGTTCCTTCACATAATTTGGCAAGAAACTGACTAAAAAAAGTGGAGAGGCAAGGTAGATGCAAAGGATTTTACAGTTTCAAAGAAACAAATAGTATGCAGAGATTCAACTATCTAGTGCTAGATTTCACGTGAGCTTCATTCCATTCCATCCTTTAACAACCACCCACCTTTCATAAAAAAGTGAAATTATTGATGTTTCTCGGTCAAACAAGTAAGAGTTAGAAACCAGTGATGAGAAACTGAGCAAAGCATCAGCATTCCCTCCTAGCCAAGGCTCCAGCAGGGTGTGGCTCAGTTTATGTCGGTCATTTGTAAAGTCCAGCCCCACTGACATGGCATTTGCTTAGGAGTTAACTGAGGTAGAGCTATGACGATTCCCTTTTCTCCCAGTGCAACCCATTTCAGCGGTTCCTTGTAGCCAACTAGCTCCACCTGAAGTAGAAACATACAGGGTAATCAGAACAGCGCCTTTTCAAAGTGCATAGGGTTGCATCAGTGACAAAAGAAGTGCTGATCCATAGTTACCTTACTGTCCAATTAGCCTTAAAAGCCCCTTGCCAACCAAATGAATGATAATTATTAAAATAGAAAAATACTTGTAGATGATAAGTAAGTAATAAAGCTAGGGAGAAGTAGTTAGGGTTGTAAAAGGTAAAGAAATACTTTTCAGAAGTATTTGGGGTGGAATCTGAAGCAGGGATCTGGCTGCCGCGGTACACAGCTTTATATCAACTACTTCTGAAATAGAGTCTGTTTCCCTTGGGCAACCTTGTAGTTTTGAATGGACATCAGTGTTTCTTACAGAGCGCAGCCAGATATCTCAAGCAAAGCTGACCTAAAGAACCCCTCTGCTAAAAACACACAAATAGGTTTAATGGTGAGACTCTTACACACCAGCTGGTGAAATGCTGAAAGCACTGGAAAGACGTCTCTACCACCACGGAATGTTACTTTCTTGTGCATATACAGTCCAGATGCCTCTCCAAGATGCATCTACATCACTTCTGAAATGACTCTTTCTTCCTTATCACAGAGGTGTCTTAGCACCAAGTAGATTATTTTCATATAGAACTGGACCAAAAGAGGCAGTCCGGAAGCACCCTTAATGCATTTCAGCAGCTAGTGGACATCCAATGCTTGAGAGCAGAACAGAGCTAAGCCAAAGTGAATCCCCACCTTAAATGCACGGTGTTGATAGCCAGTCCTGAGCACCAGCTGTTCTGCTCTATAAACCTGCTTCCACTGGGGTACGCTATTTGCTAGTGTAGGAGTGACACCAGTGTCCTCAACTTCTGAACACCACTTGCTGTAATAGACACATCTAGGGTTGCACTGACTTATTATTTAGCCTCCCCAGGCAGCAAAAACCTCTGTGTGCTTTCCCTTTGTGCATGGCTTTGACTTCAAACTACTGCACCATTACATCAATTCCAGTATCACCAGTGTCCTGAGGATGGTCATTTATAAAGGTCATGCTGAGTTAAGAGGCTACACAGGAAACAAGAGGGGCAGCACAGTTTTTTTTCCCCTGCTACTTGGCCTCTTTTTGTGATCTTTAGTTTGCAAGCTAAAACATATCCCAGCAACAACTCAGTCTAACTTTGTTTGTTGGAGAAGAAATATCCCACTGGGAGGACTATGACGGGGAGGTTCCAGAACAGAAACAAACATTTCGCTGGGTCTCTTCCAACACTCTGTCCTAAGAGCTGTGCATTCCCAAAGATACCAGAAACTAAAATAAACAATGGAACGTGACAAATCCTAGAGGTGTTTTCCTTCAGAGCATCTTTGTTTCTTGCACTGTGTGTGAAAAATCTCACTATTCTAGAGGGGAAAGGGGGAGTAGGGGCATGCTGTATTTTACCTGTGTTTCTCCAAGCTTAGCCTGTGGCTCACCAAGTACCAGAGTCCCGGAAACTGGCCAGTTAAGGAAGATAGCATTGACTTTGCCTTCTTTAGGGATGAAAGTGTACCTGGGTTGACATGGGGAACAGAAATGCATGTTAGCTTCTCCTTGTAAATCTTCTGAAGTGATACATAGATTGCTTTTCAGACTGGGAAAATGGATTTGAAAAATATCAGCAGTAATTACATTTTCACACACATAACTATCTTTTCAGACAATGTATACCTTTTAATACAGTACTGTTCCTTGAAAATTATTTCCAACAAACTAGAGGTAATAGACACTTATTAAAGAATTGAACTCAGAGGTCAACATCTACAGTAACTTTAGCAAGCATATAACTCACTGCTGTTCAGCCATATAAGGAGGTACTTGCAGGGCAGGGGGAATCATTAACAGAAAATTTTGGGTTATATTCAAAAAAACACACTAATTCACGTTATACACAAATGTACAGATAATACACTAAAAATAACAAGAACATGAGCGACAACAAAGCTTCCACCTTGCACTGCTAGTTTCTTAAAAAATTAATTTCAGCAGACATTATCTACAGTATGTCCTTGGAAATCTTGTGGCATATACTTGAAACATTCCTCCCTCTTTCCTTCATTTAGTTACAATGTTTTATTGCTTTTGTAAGTAGTGGTTTTACTAAACAGTCAATAGTTCAGCATTTCAAGGCTAAAGCCAGATAGCCAAATCTTACTGGGAACAGAGGTAAAAAGGCCATTGGGGCAGAGAAGAGGGTCAAGACGAAAACCCTGATGGATCATTAAGGCTTTACAGCAGCTATGAGGCATGAAGGCAGAGGCGAGAGTCCAGAGACTGACTCAGTTTAGTGACCAATTGCTGTTATCCTCCCACGCATTTTTACCTTAAAAAGAAATGCAGCATATACTAGACTGATTTCTAGTTTCTATGTCTTCCCGTTTTCTCTCTGAACAGTGAAATGAAGTATTGTTTTGTACAGATAAAACACTTCATTAAAAAGTTTTGTATTTCTGGATTTATATTTTTTCTTTATAGTTTCTGTTGACAGCTACACTAAGAAGTACAAGATCACTAAGGAAATGCTTGCAACCTTCCCTTCAGCCTCAGCATCATCCCAAAACTACAGTCTCCTACACCCTTTGCCTACCTACAGTTTTATTTTTATGTGCAGTTACTTAAACTGACGAAAAGGTTAATTTCTTCACAGCATACAAACTAAGCTGGCGATTTCTGTAGCATCAAATCACTAAGAACTTCAAAGTTTCACACACACTGCTTCTGCTTTATGCAGCCTATGTTTTGATTCCATAGCCTTACCACACATCTGGTGTGACCGTGTCGTTCTGTGCTCTCCATGGTTTCGTTCCATAGATGGCTTCCCCGTTGACTTTCAGCCAGGCACCCATCTGCCTCAGGCGTTCCTCAAATACAACAGCGATGCGACCATCGTGAGTGGGCCCGATATTCATCAAGAGATTTCCTCCACAAGACACTGTTTCTACAAGTTGCTGAAATGTTTTTAAACACATACACAGAGCATATGGTTACAGCTAATGAAATCATACATTTGAAGTATTTCCTAAAGTCTGCCATACTGCTTCAGGACAATGAACTGAATGAGTTGTGTTACTGCTGCACGTTTAGATTTTGGGGGTCATTCCAACAGTCAACACAAACTTTAAGCTCCCATAAAACAGAGCTCTGCTGTCAATTTTTGTAGCAGAAAACAGCCCGAAATACATTTTTGCACTAATATGCCTGACTGAATTTACATTAGAATCAGATCCTATAACTTTTTATCATTTCAACTTCTGCAGGAATTTCACAAGGGTTTTACCAATAGAATGGATAGGTGATTTCTCTACGCAAGAGGAGAATAAGGCTAATAGATGACACTTCATTTTCACTGAAGCTGAGAGAAGAAACTTCCTTCTTTCTCTCTTTTATGCTATCCCTATTTTACAGAGACATCTGTAAATCAGGAGGCAGCCTTCTACAGAGTCCTTAAATATTTGTGTTCACATCCACACTGCCCTCCAGAGATCGTGGGCTGAGATGCACAAGTCTAAGGAACAGAGCTGGAGACAAGTTACTAAATGAATTTAAACCTCTGAAAAGACATTACTTCAATTTGAAATTACCTTTTGCAAGGACAATACTAGGAAGAGACTTAGATTAAGCAACAATAACAAACAATCTTCCTCTTACCAGCTGAATGTTACAGTTAAATCCATTTACCTGACAGATCGATCAGTCTTCCTTGCATTCATTTTTCCTAAGCTTCAAATCCCTCTAAGGTATTAATCTTAGACTAGCAAAGGGAACCCATGTTCTGTTAACACCAGCTGTATGCATCTGTTAGTGTGTATCTGTATGTCTGTAATAAGCGTGTTGGTTTTTCTTTTTTAAATGAAGTGGGATGAAAGGAAAGTTTCTCGCTACGAGGTGAAAAGACTATTAAGAGTTATAAATGTTCCTAGCTAGAAGGAGAAAAAGATGTCCCCTTCAATTAGGAGTTCCTAAACAGGAACTGTGAAACTGTAACTTTGCTTCTCATCAACTTAGAGGTGCAGTTACTAGAAAAATTTAGTAGAAAAGGTAACTATGAGACTATCCAGATCAGATTGGGCAGTTACTCACTGGGGAAACAGCTTCTAAGAAACCGACTGAATTTTTACTAGATATTTTTCCTCTTAGTCATTTCTATAATAAAAATTACATGGATATTCCATCCTGCCAGTGTTAGGCTGCAAATGAACAAAATGATTTATTATTTCATTAATTCATTATTCAATTGAAATAATACTTTTTTATAAAAATAGATACATAATTGAAATGTTATATAGCATAATATAATAATTGGGAGGGAGAATCAGAAGTTGCAGGCAACTCCTCTGTCCCACTGTACCTTCACCAGGTCCTCAATTGTGAGATAATCATCAAGCTGGGTGTTCCTCCTGTAGCCCCATGACCTCCTGTCAATAGTCATACAGTTCTCCCACTTGTGAGGCAGGAGGTGGCCAGGATTATACCGGTCGCTACAAGTGTAGAAGCCACCATGTGTACAGATGCTGCCAACTCCCCAGCGGTCATTGGTCACAACTGTGTCTCTGACTGGACTGAAAACAGAGAAATTTTATCATTTTTATTCTATTAAATACAGTCACAGCCAGTGTAATCCCCTCCCACAAACTAACATTTAGGATGACTTCTATACTATTAATTTATTACAATTACATTAAGTACAATTTCAGGGATCCTAGTCTCATTCTTTTGCACCTCTATTTCAAATTATCTGCTTGTCTGTGCAGTAGATGATACGGGAAGAATATGATTAAGCAGAACAGCCAAAACCATCTTAACTGATTAATCTGCAAATGTGTTAAAAAATATGAAAGTCTTTTTCTAAAGGAAGCTCTGATAGTTTTAGGGAAGACCTGGATTCTGTATTTCAAGAAAATTAATATTTAAGTAAGTAGAGATAACAGGTTCCACAAAATACACAGAAAATGAGACAAACTAGACACAGAGCAGAATTTCAGATAAGGAGCTAAACCAGCATGACTATGCACCTGTCATTATACAGCCAAGCCAAGAAACCAGTGCTGTTCCAGTAAGTATCTGGTGCATTTCCATTCCCATCAGACCAAATTATTTCTGGTTGATACTTGTTCACAATTTCATAGAGTTCTGGTAATGATTTGCTGGTTGGAAACTTTCTTGTCTTAAAGACATTGGTGGCATCCTCAAGGAAGAGAGGATTAAACCATTCAAACAGGGAATGATACAACCCAAAATGCAAGTCAGTCCTGTTTCTAACAGATGTTGCTAGTTCAGCCACAAGATCTCGTTTTGGTCCCACATCAACAGCATTCCAGTTCCAAGAATACTTGGACCCCCACAAAGTAAAGCCTGAAAAGAGAAAAGTAGAAGGATAAGAAAGGGAAGCAGAAGAGGGGAAGTTATAGTTCCTCTTTTTGGAAAGTAGTTTGCAAGTGTGTTGCAAAAAATAAATATAATAGAAGTCATATATGTAATAATATTGTTATGTAATAATATTGTTATCATGGTATAAAGCATGCCTATAATCTTTTTATGCACAATGACAGTAGTCATAACATCAGAACACCATGCCAGATATGTTTATGTATTTTTTATACATACACATATGCATTTATATTTTCCAGTTCTGTACTGCTTAGGATAATTATTCCTTCTCCTTAATTGTTCACTCCATTCATATGTCCCAATTAAATTTACCAAAAACACAGCAACTTTCAAAGCATCTACATTTTCTCTGAAGTATCAAATGTGAACTGTGAATACATATCCAACAGTTGGAAGATAAAATGCTTTCTCAGTTGCAGAACGCACAAGCCATCACTTGCATTTAAAGACTGTTCTCCTCCCTTCCCTTTACATCTTAGGCAAATGTTCACTTTTCATTTGTCTTGACATTTACAACAGCTCGATCAACTACTCATTACATGTATATAAGCAGAGTGCAAAAACTCCCTGAAACAGCTTTTAAAATATCAGCATTATCAGGGGGGAGTTAACATTTCAGATACACAGCATTCCAACACAAGCACTTTCAAGTACTACTGCACTGCAGACTTAAACCACTGCCACAGGAGCTGCACTCTCAGCCTCAAACTGATTTATATGTATTGCCTAATAAATCTTGCAATATTTTTGTGATATATGTGGATACATGTAATGGTATCAACTAGACAAACAAGCTAAAAATTCATGCCCACAGCTACAGGACAGACTAAATGAATTATGGTTCTTTTGAAATCACTGGGAATTACGCCATGGGCATCATCAAGATCAAGATTTTATGTGTGTCAGAGCCGAGATTAAAACTCACAAGTTAAAGAGTTGCTAGTCCTGAACCCGTATCTCCCCAAAGACCAACATCACGCACTAGATGTACTATCGTATTGCATCTTAGTATTTTATGCTTCCTTTGCTACCATATTTCCTTCCAACCACTTTCTTTTTCTTTACTTTTCTCTGCAAAGCATCTTACAATTACAGTGCCAAAAATCAATCATGCCTGTAAAGTTACAGACCTGGTTCAAGGTTTTGGCTTCTACGCACTGCATCAGGAAGAGCTATACCCTGTGTATGCTTCTAACTCTGAAGTTGACTCCTGGAACATACACCTGAATTCCTTGGAGAAACCTATAGAGCTCTGTTAACTGCCTGTACACAGCAGCTCTTTATGTTAAACAGCACTTTTGTGGTTCCCTGAGCAATAAACTGCACACAATAAACTATGGCTACTGCAGGAAGCTCAGCTGCCCCTGCTGCTTCAGGCTGTCTTACCTACAGCATGATAACAATGGCACAATCTATTTTTCCTCCTATGCAAGCTTTACGGCCATAGCTTTTGTGTAAGAGTCAGGAAAATGCATACACATTTCTTAGGTGGTTTGTTTCCTCTGTGGCTGGGTTGGGGCAGGTAAGCCTGCTTGGCTTTCTCTATCTCTCTTAGTAGGCAGAAAAGTCACCTGGATTTTCTTCTGTTGACAGAAATGCAACAAATTACTAACATTCACAAACCTTCCACTTACCTTCATGATGTTTTGAAGTTAAGACAACATATTTTGCACCTGAAGCCTTCAGAATATCTGCCCATTGGTTGGAATCAAAGAATTCTGCTGTAAACAGTGGCCCAAAATCTTCATAGTTGAACCCCGGTGGGTAATTTGCCTCCATAAATTTCACATAGGGCTCTCTCTTTTCCTTCTGCCAGTACCACCTACAAAATGTAGAGCAAAACACACTTGCTGGTGTATTTTTAGGTAGAGAGAATTTAAATCGTCAGCTCCTATTTGAGTTCACACCGAGAGGCACATGCACTGGAGGTACATGACACTGGCATAAGACAAGATTGCTTCAGAGGTTTCCTTCTCTCTGTCCATGCTCTACATCTTTCAAGCACTCCACTTTGGAAAGGCCCCAAGATTTCACTTGGAGCAACGAAGTAAAGCAGCTACACTTTGAGAATGGAAAAAAATAGCAGTCTTGCCCAATACACAAATCCCAAGACCGTACTATAGAGCACAGGCAGACAGTCCACATAAGCAGCTCAGGTGGCACAAGGAATGCACTTTTTCTGGACTAACATGACTCACCCTCCTCAAATCTCACACATCAGCCATGAGGCATCTCTAAGCAGCTCAGGTGGCACAAGGAATGCACTTTTTCTAGACTAACATGACTCACCCTCCTCAAGTCTCACACATCAGCCATGAGGCATCTCTGTTCTGCCCCCCACACTGCAACTCCTGCAACCCACAAACACATGAGCCAACAGCTTTACCTCTCTGCTGGTCCAGAGTCCTCTATACCAAATGCAGCTGAGTGACCTGATCTGTGAGCAGACGCCCACAGTCCCAGAGCAGGAGAGAGCTGTGACTGCAGGGCACTGCAACCACTGCACGTGTAAGGCTCTGAAGCGAAGGCACCCTACTAGAAGGCACGTCTTCCAACAACAACCTGCCTCCGAGAGAACCCCACACTCACAAACGCACCTTTGCCACAGGTTCTAACACTCAGGCAACACATCTACCAACCTACCAGTGCACCAGATCTAGGAACCGAAAGGAAAAATAAGTGGATTATCTCTTTTTGCACCCCACCTAACAAAGACAGGGACAGTTTCTATCTTGTGCTTCCCCACAACATCGACCAGTATTGTCAGTATTCCAACTGGCCTGGAACGCCACTCTGTGGTCTGAGAGTGGTCTCTCAGCCTCATCAGGGGCAGAGATCATAAATCACCAAAAGAGCACTATTTATTTTCAACCTTCTCCATCCTTTCCCTCCCTAGCAATGAAAGAGGAGTTCCAGAAACAGCCTGCAACAGTCCTTCCTGCATAAACAGGATTATTGCTGGAGACCTTCTAACAGTAACATTAGTTGTGACTGCTAACACTCATGGAGAAGAGGGTCTGAAAGGAGTCACCTTTCTGCGAATGAGGCCAAGTAGCAAAAACCCTGTTGGCAAATTCAGACATAAATGAAAACAAACTGAAAGTTAAGGAATAATGCATGCCAGAATCTGAATATTTGAAGTGGATTTCTTTCTCCTGTCCCACGCTGGACTCTGACCTCTGTTCTGCAGGACCGCAGTAACTGTATAGAGTTGTAACCTTCCCAAACAGACCAGCATAAAGAAACATGATCTCTGGCAGCCAGCAGGGAAAAAATCTAGAAAACAGAGGCTGAGAGAGCTTTTGTCATTGAAAGACTTGGGGGGATGGAACGACCCAACTCTGATTTTAAAGTGTGTAACTGCATAAAGAAACAGGTAATATCCTTGCTTCTCTCCCTTTGTCACATGGTTTGCTAACACGAGTACTTCTACTCTGACACAATTAGATTCTAGAAACATCCTGACCAAGGCTGTGCAGCTTCGAAAGAAGGAGGACAGGCTGGGCGATTTCAGAGTTTATGACCTTCCATTTGAAGCTGTTAACCCAGCACCTCAATCTGACTGCACATGCTGCCAGAAGGCGCTGAAGCAGCTCTACACCCACATGTGCCTAAGGATGGGAGGCTACAGGAATATAAAACACAACTTCATCCACTACGTTAGTGTTTTGGGGTCTTTTTAGAGCAACAGAAGTCGAACGCTTTGTCCTGACTCAGCGTACCACTATCGGAGCACAGCACTCAAAAGTACGGCTTGAACCCACGTCTAGCTTCTCCCTCACTAGGAAAGTAAGGTATTAGTAAATGGAGTCCACATTACAAAATTGCTGAAACCCTTGAATGTAACTCTGAAAAGAACAGACCAAATATTGTCAGAAAACAGTGGTTTGTTTGTATCAATGCTGGTTTGTTTTATGAATGTTGCATTTAAGGTTAACCATAGCTCTGCCACAGAGCTGCTGTTATCTTCATATTGTAAATGATAACGTGACTCACTCAAATTCACACAGGAAGTATTTGGTAAAAGAGTACGGAGAGAAGATAACAAAAAAATGCTTACAGCCTTAACCAGTGAACACTCACAAACCAAAAGTTTTATTCAGCCTTTGAATTAAAATTATTTGAAGAATCAAGAGCTTCAGGCTCTTTCAAGTGGAAAGTACTCTTTAATAAATAATAATAAAGAAGAAAACCATCAGCAACACAAAATGTGCACAAGAAAACAGCAGGCAGTTTGCCAAGCAAGGAGGGAGTGATGGAACACCTGCGCTCCCCACAGTCAGTGCCAGAGCACTCCAGCAAGAGCTGTGCAAGGCCTGGAAGATCTCCAACGCCCATCCCCACAGGGCCTGGGCAGAGCCCCTGCACTCATCCCTTCACCGTGGCGCTGGAGAGGCCTCCTTCTGCCACTCCACCAACCACCTGTCACCAACGCTGTGGAAATCACATCGTCCAGCTCTCCAAGCTCTCTGCTTAATTTGGTTAACGTTAGCCAAAATATTCAGGCGTTTTAGGGCTGGGCAGACATACCAGAAGCACATCAAACTCTGTTTCCTTCGTAAACGGTGCCACAGAGTCCGTGGTCTCACTGTCCAGCCTCAGGTGGAAATAAACCTCTTCCCACACACCTCAGCTCCGGGGTCAGGCTGCAAAGGGGCTTTAAACCCAACCATCACTTTAAGGGGGGAGGGGAACACCAAACCAACTCCCGCCTGCTCAAAGAGCTGCTTTTTCCAAACGCACCCCTGCGATGGCCGGTGCGACCCATCCGCAGCAGCTACTCCGGTGGGACCCTCCCAGCTGCCCCAGCGGGGTCTGAGGGGGCTGC